CAGCTCTGAGATACACACTCCAAAGAACTGAAAACAGAGATTTAAGAGATACTTGTACATGAATGTTCATAGTGACCTTATTCATAACAGCCAAAAGATGGAAACAACCCAAATATTCATCAACCAATAAATGGATAAACAAAATATCTTATATACATACAGTGGGATATTATTCAGCCATGAAAAAAATGACGTTTTGATATATGCTACTACATGGACATGCCTTGAAAACATAATACCCTCTCAGGCATCCATATCCAATAACAAATCAACACAAGTTTATTAAAAATACAGCTTTCCTTCCCCAACCTGTGATACTCTTTTTTTTTTTTTTTTTTTTTTTGAGACGGAGTTCCACCTTCAGAGTTCCCCATCCGGTTGACTGAGGCCTTTGTTGAGACTACAACACAGCCCAACTTTTCCCACTATCCAATCCTGCTTCTGTATCTTTCCCTGCACAGGTGCTGATCTTAAAAGTCTTCCCTAATAAACTTTCTACATGCTGATCTCCATTTCAGAGTCTGTTTTCTGGAAAACCCAGCCTATGGCAAAATATGAAGCAAGAGGAGAGCTGTTTCCCAATGCTCCCGAAATTCAAGTTCCTTTTTAGGTATCTAAGATCAGTAGGTGATAGAATTTGAGTTACTTCTGCTTACTTAGAGTTAGCTCTTCATGCATCATAGACCGATTAACATCAATGTTCCACATGAGAAATGAAGAAAGATAGATCCAGTGCAATGTATCAGTCCTATCCATAAATGAGCCCATAATCATTTCACCATGCTGATCAATGACAATTACTAAAGTTTTTGGACTGTTTGCATTTAATGAGAGGGTAGAATTTTGAAGTACCTTCAGTAAGTCAGCCCTCTTTATGACCTCTTTATGACTGTCTTTCCCTTAATATTATAAGGATACTTGAAATAGCACCTACCATAGAAAGTATTCATGTTTTCCTATATTTCTATTTTTTCAATTCTACTGCGACACAACCTGATAGAGTACTAAGTATTAGAAAACATATATTTTAATCCTGACTCTACTATTTACTAGCTGCTTTCTGAGCCTCATGCTCCTCAACTGTGTAAAAGGAAGATAATGATGCCTGTCTTTTCTAGTGGTTGCTCTGGTTAAAGGGGAGGATGTTTGCAAAGGGTCTAACATGTTATGAGTACTCAGTAAATTGTAGCTATTTTTATCAATAACTCTCATAATAAAAGTAGACTGATAAAAAATTTTAAAAGTAAATATCTTTTTAACAAATACTTCAATTTATTGCCACATTTTTTAGTCCCTGGGCAACACATTTTGGCTCGCAAATGTAAAGTTATTCACTATAAATATGTTTATACTAAAACGTTTGTGATTTTCATCCAAGGGGCAATTGCCTTTAAAATAAAAAAGTTAGACTAAGTGAGTTGTAAGTTTTTTTCCCCACTGTTAAAGCCTCACAAGTTTATGGATTTGGATGACCTTCCAAAAATAGAAGCAAATGTTGCTGAGAATTTGAGTCTCTCTTTGGTAAGGATGGCTACATGTCAATGGAGTTACGGTTCCAAGTCCTCTTGACTAGCAGTTTACTTGCAAACTATTCAGTCTGTCTTAGTCTATCATATCACTGTGCAAAATACTTGGCAGTACACAAGTAGTAATTTTGTGTAGTAATGACTACACATTATTATAAGCTGAAAATTACTGCCTTTTATTCTATCTTAGATTTTCAGTTGCATAAATTCTATTTAAGTTGATTGTAAAGCATGGCTCATTGTTTTCTCTCAATACTCATTACTTCTGCTGATTAGTACTGTGTTTGTGTCTGTAGTTCAAAGTCTTCTTAACTAGTAGTCTACTTGCAAATAATTCAGACAGCTTTCTCTCTGTCATCTGTTAACATTAGTCCTGGGGACTGGCTTCTCTGATAAAATTCCTGCAGCTACTTCATACTTTTGGACATGTACTTGGACACATGCCCTCTATTTCATCTTTTGTACCTAGAAATGAGTTGCATATATGTGTCCATTCTTTGGAACCCATTTAGTCTTCAACCTTACTTCTACATTGAACTGGACTGGACTTTTCTTTTACTGAGTGGATTCAGGCTAGCAGACACATAGACCATTTTTATTTTCCTCCCCTTCTAAACATCTGTCTCTTTATCCATCTTCCTACCTCCTGTCTAAGAAGAGCAGTGTAGCCTCCCTTCTCATCAGAAATAGGGTAACATTTTGTCTTCCTTCCTGTTCTATATCAACTACTTAATATATGTATTAGAACACTGTCAATCAAGATAACATTATTTGTCCCCTTATATATCAGACTTTTGTCAAGGATATATCTGATTAGGAAAATGGCAAGGATTAGGGGTTGGAGGTAGAAGGTGAAGGTTCAAGAAAGAGATGACACTCTATACAGTTGAAGACTAAAAAGATCTGGATGGAAGGTAAAGGTCATATGCAGAAACAGAACAGAAAGAATTTTCCAGAGTTCAGAAGAAACAGATCTCTAGTTCCATGAGGATACTGGAATGTGTACCCAACATAAAATGTGGAAAGGTACTAGGGGTAAGAAGGATACACATGTGGGGCAGGAAAGGGCTCAGGGAAAGAATAAGAATCAGGAAATTTAACTAGTTTTACTTGTGTGCAAATGGCCATTTATGGTATTGCTGCCTTTGATCTTTGAAGTGCAGACACATCCCTCAATTTATGAACAGCGGTTTGTGCAGAGCTCCCTAGGATGTGAGAAAGGAAATGAGGAGAGATGCTGTCCTTCGGTTTACCAAGCTCGGAGCTGATGGCTGAAAGGCCAAGTTCCCTTTTCTTCCATTACATGTTAAGTATGTTATTATGGACTATAGTGATACTCTTTGTAACACTGTTTCTATAGGAAAATGCATTATTTGAATTGGATCACATTAAAATTAATTTTTTGAATATAGTTTACATGGAGACAGGGATTTCTTTTAACTTTACTAACATTAACTATCTAAAGATTGCAGATAAAGAAAAGCTAGGTGGGGCCGGGTGTGGTGGCTCACGCCTGTAATCCCAGCACTTTGGGAGGCCGAGGCGGGTGGATCACGAGGTCAAGAGATCGAGACCATCCTGGTCAACATAGTGAAACCCCGTCTCTACAAAAAATACAAAAAATCAGCTGGGCATGGTGGCGCATGCCTGTAATCCCAGCTACTCAGGAGGCTGAGGCAGGAGAATTGCCTGAACCCAGGAGGCGGAGGTTGCGGTGAGCCGAGATTGCGCCATTGCACTCCAGCCTGGGCAACAAGAGGGAAACTCCGTCTCAAAACAAAAAAAAAAAGACAAGCTAGGTGGAAGAATAGTGACTTTCCAAAGGTATTACTATAAAATTAAGCTAAAATTAGGATTTCATACACCTTCATTCAGTCTGTAAGAGTTTTGTTTCTACTGGGTCTCTAGGGAGCCTTTGCTTTGAAGAGATTATTGGGGAGAGTGGACAGGAAGGGAGGGAATAAATCAGCACAGTGCAACACACCACGTTCTTTTCTTTCTCTCTCTTCTGCTTTAGATTCCTATTTCTCTTCCACGCTTTTCCTTCCTTCCCCTTCTCTTCCTGTGTTTTCTTTCTTTCTTCTTTTTCTTTGCTTCTTAGTCCTTTACTGCTCTTAATATTTGGCCTGCCTCTTTCCAGTCTCTTCTTTTTTATTTTTTAGTGCTGCTTTTTATATCTCCCCCTTCTAGTAGAGAAAAGATGATCAATATTACAGTCATTCAAAAATAAAAATTAAGCACTTCTTCTGGCTCTGTGCCAAACGTTGTAAAAAGGAAGTTATATAGACAGTTTCCGACCTCCAAAAGCATGCAATCATTTGAGTCCTAGCTGTGATTTTATAACACCTTCATAATTCTTGACTTTTTTTTCTGTTTCTCAGTCCCATTAAAAATCTGGTGATAGCAATGAATTGCTTCACTCCAATAATGCTTGAGTCAGAGACATGCCCTATTTGCATATAATTTCAGAAGATTCAAGAACTCCCTGAATTCCTCAGTAGTTTATGACCTCAGATCTAGAACACTGCTTGTTGTCTCAATATATTTCACAAGTGTCACACAGTTTGAGATAGAATGTCTTAAAACACAGTAAATTTTAATCCATTAAGAAAATCAATAGGCCATATAACAGCCATTTTGTGTTTTTGGGGAGGCAAAAAGGGGAAGAAATGTTATCTAATTACAAGTAGGTTGTAACATTATCTAAAAGGAACAAACACTTATTTGACCACCTATTACATATTATATATGTTATATATGAGTCCTGCATAATGCAGCTTTTACAAAATTGTATATGAAATATATTTGTATATATATATACACATGTATACATAGATACATATGTGTATATACTTGTAAATTTATACAAATATGTGTATATGATACATATGTGTATATACTATGTAAAGTATAATAGAAAAAATATACAAAATGTTTACAACAGCTATGTTATGTAGGAATTATTATACTCAGATATGAAAATTAAGACTCAGAGAGATCAAACAGCTTACTCAGTCAACCTGTAGTGAACAGTAGAATCAGAATTTGAATCCACATCTAACACCAATGCCTTCTTGGAGAATGATTTCTTATTTATCCTTTCTATTCAACACAAAACTCAGCACATAGGAGGTACTCATGGAATATTGGAATGCTGATTGAATTAGATGGAACAGAGTCAGATATAGAGCCCTGCAGTAGATCACTGGAGACTAGAGACCATGCTTCCCATTCCACCCCCACCTCCCATTTAATTTTTTTCCTTTAGTAAAAAGGAAGGGACATTCTAACAGGTCCTAAAGACTAGAGAGGACTCTACAAAACTTCAGAGAGATATAGTAATTTTACTTTATTCATCAGGGAAATATATCAGCTATGGTTGTGTGAGGGTAACAGGCTTGAATACACCAATTTTCATGTGAAAGGAATGTACTACTAAGTTAATACAATAGCAACTTGGGGAAATTACTTTTGATTTAGCAAGTTATCTGAACATTAAAGGAGGCATTCTGACTGAGACTCCTTTAGTAAAAAGGAAGGGAATTTCTAACAAGTCCTAAAGACTAAAGAGGACTCTACAAAACTTCAGAGAGATATAGTAATTTTACTTTATTCATCAGGGAAACATATCAGCTATGGTTGTGTGAGGGTAACAGGCTTGAATACACCAATTTAAAGGCCAATTTGAAACATGCCTGGAAGGAAAATAAGGCAATTTTAGCAAAAAGACAGTTCTCAAATAAAGTCTGATCTTAAAGGAAGAGACCTCACTGATTGAAGGAATTGTTCAGAATGTACATGTACATAACCTAACTGAGGCTAGCTAATGAAGGAACTGAAATTTGAAGTGTGCTGGTAAAGAAAATGAAAGCAATATAAGAATGTTGGCAACTTTGAGATAGAGGCTGATTATACTTCAAAAGAGTATCTTTAGGGAAGCTAATAAATTCTTAACTAAGTTGAACAGAAACTATTAGAAATAAGTATAATCTTAGAAGCCAGTCAAGACAATAGAGCAACACAGAATCAGTGACTGTGTTGCCTTGATTGATAGATTCATGATTTAAAAGTAAACCCATTTTGACTTCAGGTCAGGGCAAGGTTATAATGTACAGTTTTTGAATTTCCCCAAATCCATTCCTAAAATCGTACTGAACAACTAGAATAGCAAAAGATAAGCTCCATTCACCACATCCTCCAGAAAACCAATGGAAAAAAACATCACCAGGAGTCTCAGAACACCAGTGGGTTTTGCCCCACCCAAACCACAGACAACAGCAGCAGAAGTCAAACAGATCATGCCTAGTTTCAGCAGCGGTGCAGAGGCAGTAGACAGGAGAGAACAAAAGTATGAAAGGTTCTATGAACACTGCAATATGAAATTATCCGCAAATACTCAAAAAAAGAAGGTCTCACCTTGAGTGGGATTCTCAACAGGTAAATATTGTGAAAATAACAGAAAAAGGAGAAGGGTCCTGACTCCAATTTATGGCTGAGTAGAATAAAAATATCTCAGCCACACACTAAGAGAACATGGGAAGATCAGAAGGGACTGGGTGGCTTATGTACTCACAGAACTCAGAAACAGCCAATAAAATATATTTCCTGAGGAAAACACCTCCGTGAAGAAAATTCAAATTGAGCAGGATAGAAACTCTGAGAGTAAAACCAATATTTTGACAACCTTACAATGCCTTTGTTGTTTGTCGAGAGAAAAGAATCAAACACTGGAAGGTGAGGTGGGTCTCCAGAGAAGGCAGATCTCTGAAAGTAGATGTGACTACACAAAGGCCATCTATGTCTACGTGTGTATCTCCATCTATCTACTGTGTGGTAATAATAAAGGAGGAATCTTTTAAGCAATGAAACTATAAAGGCTATCATGGCATATCCCAATTCCCACAAGGGAATCATTTCCTAAAACTACAGAACACCTGATTTTATTTATACAAAAGCAACAGAAAAGGATGTGGTTGAACACCAAACAAATGTACTATTATAAAGAAAATGAACTAAATAAAGAAAAAATGGGTAGTTAATATGTATCAGAAAAGACATAATTAAAAAAAAATGAAAAGTAACAAAATCCACTGAAGCAAATTAAGAAAATAATAGAAACTATAAAATAACAGCATATATTAGAACCAGGAAACTCAGAGACAAGATAGCTAAACATCAATTGGGGATTGATATAATTCAGAACTCGAGTTGAGTGATTCGTCCATTTCCAGTTTATCCTTCCTCATAAAGTGTAGTCTCTTGTGGTCCCAATGGAAAGGCTAGTGTTTTTGTTTTTTGGGTTTTCTTTTTTAGATCTCATTCTCCTTGTGCAGCTCAGAACTCCAATTTCCCCCCCAACTTCTTGAGTCTATCAAAAGTTTTGTTCAAATTCTCATCCTTTCAGCCATTGTTCTCAAATAGGCAAATAAATGCCTCAAGACCAAAAGCAGTGGCACATGTCAGGTTCAGCTCTCTGGGATTGCCTTTTCTTGTGGATCCTGGCCCCATAAGCCCTCACCACCTGACTGGTTTTTCGATACCTTCAAATTGTTCTGAAACAACCTAGTTCACTATTTTCAGAAATAGGACTTGTGAAATACAGTTTACAAAGGAGGAAAAGAAAGCAGAAAGAAAGCAGCAGAAAGGATTCAAGAGAAAAATGATAGTTATAGAAGACAGGAAAAGGAAAACCAACATAAGTGTAATTTATGTTGGAAGAAAAATGAAAGCAATGGAACAAAGCTAGCACAAAAATCCATAATGCAAAAGGACGTTCTTAAAGTTAGAAAAAAAATGATCACCTATATTGAAAGAGCACACAAGTAACCTTGGAAAAATAAAGCCAGAATTGCCAATACCAAGACATATTCCAGTATAACTGGAAAATAAAACAGTTATTTGAACATTCAGGCATAAAGACTAAGTTGTCAAAAATAAAATCATATTTGCTTCAGATTTTGTAAGTCCATGAAACAATATATTTAATATATTAAAGAGAAAAAATAATGAAACAATGATTTTTACACGTACTCGAACTTTTAAGTATAAAAGCTACAGAAAAGTAAAGCAATTGTGATCGTGCAAGAACCAAACGAATACTATTCCCTGAGAAATATACATAGAAAACAAGCTTCAACCAAAAAAATCATAGGAAATGCTTCAGCTAAGTTCTAGAAACAAAAAGCTTGCCAATAAATATTATTTGAGCAGAGAGATAGATGTATGAATGCATGGGTGGAAGAATTAATTAATTAATACCTGGGAAGGAAAAGAAAAGATCTACCCATGTGTATTAGCCTGTTTTCATGCTGCTGATAAAGACATACCTGAGACTGGGAAGAAAAAGAAGTTTAATTGGACTTACAATTCCACATGGCTAGGGAGGCCTCAGAATCATGGCGGTAGGTGAAAAGCACTTGTCACATGGTGGCAGCAAGAGAAAATTAGGAAGAAGCAAAAGTGGAATCCCCTGATAAGCCCACCAGATTTTGTGAAACTTATTCACTATCATGAGAATAGCACAAGAAAGACTGGCCCCCATGATACAATTACCTCCTTTTGGGTCCCTCCCACAACAAGTGGGATTTCTGGGAGGTACAGTTCAAGTTGAGACTTCGGTGAGGACACAGACAAACCATATCATTCTGTCCCTGGTGCCTCCAAATCTCATGTCCTCACTTTTCAAAACAATTATGCCTTCCCAACAGTACCCCAAAGTCTTAGCTCATTTCAGCATTAACCCAAAAGTCCACAGTCCGAAGTCTCATCTGAGACCAAGCAAGTCCCCTCCACCTGTGAGCCTGTAAGATCAAAAGCAAACTAGTTACTTTCTAGGTACAAAGGGGGTAGAAGTATTGGTTTTGGCCAATTTCTCCCATGTAGAATGGCTGTACCATTCTACATGGGAGAAATTGGCCAAAACAAAGGGTTTACAGGGCCCATGCAAATCTGAAATCCAGTGGGGAAGTCAAGTTTTAAAGCCCCAAAATGATCTCCTTTGACTTCATGTCTCATATCCAGGTTATGCTGATACAAGAGGTAGGTTCCCATGGTCTTGGGCAGCTCTGCTTCTGTGGCTTTGCAGGGTATAGCCTCCCTCCTGGCTACTTTCACAGGCTGGCATTGAGTGTGGCTTTTCCAGGTACACGGAGCAAGCTGTTAGGTGGATCTACCATTCTGGGGTCTGGAGGACAGTGGCTCTCTTCTCACAGCTCCACTAGGCAGTTCCCCAGTAGGAACCCTGTGTGGAGGCTCTGACCCCACATTTCCCTTAGCAGAGGTTCGCCATGAGGCACCACCTTTGCAGAAAACTTTTGCCTGAGCATCCAGATATTTCCATATATCTTCTGAAATCTAGGTGGAGGTTCACAAGTTTCTCATCTCCATCTGAGACACAGCCAAACCATACCACTATGTTACTGATTACCACAAAACTAGGAATGTAAAGTCAGTGAATATTAGTTCTGGGAAAGAAATTCTAGATTAAGTACATTTACATCCTCACTTTTTAGATAGGTAAACTGTGTCTCAGCATGATTTGTCCAACATGCCCAGATGGCCTATGGCAGAGGCAGAAAATGGATCCAGAATTTTCTGATGCTTAGTGAAGATCTCTTTAAAAACTTGATCCTGGCTGACTGGGCTCAGTGGCTCACACCTGTAGTCCCAGCACCTTGGGAGGCCAAGGTGGGTGGATCACTTGACATCAGGAGTTTGAGAGCAGCCTGGCTAACATCGTGAAACTCCATCTCTACCAAAAATATGAAAATTAGCCAGGCATGGTGGTATGCACCTATAATTCCAGCTACTTGGGAGGCTGAGATACAAGAATTCCTTGAACTTACGAGGCAGAGGTTGCAGTGACCTGAGATCTTACCACTGCACCGCAGCCTGGGCAACAGAGTGAGACTCCATCTTAAAAAGAACACAAAAAACAAATAAAACAAAACTTGGTCACTGGCAAAGTATAATTGTTAAATATTATTACTCATTCCTTTCCCCTGCCTCCGAATAAATAAATCCTGCTCCCTATCCCAGAGTAAAATGTTTCTTGAGGGCCAGGCCATGATTTGTTTTATTAAGTTTTAAAATTTACAAAAACAATTTATTTTACTATAGAAAAATTAGGAAAAAAAACCTTTGCTTATAATCCTATCACTCAGAGAAAACTTATGCTATAAATATTTTTGTTGTTACCTTTTTAGACTTTGTTATTCTTTGAACAAATGCACCCTCATGTTTAAAACAAAAACAGAATTATACGGTCATATTCTTTTGCAGTCTTTTTCTCAAAATATAATCATCCTTCATTTTCAATAAACAGAACTAAGTCACACATATACACACAAACTTTAAAATAAATTTTATATCAATGAAACTGTAAATTTTAATGTTACTTTATATTTTATTTTCCTGAGTATTTCATAATTTCATTCAATCATCTGTAAATCGTTTAACTTTTATGTGTCCTTAATTTATGTTTTTCCATTTTATTTGGTTGACACAAATTTTAAACTTGCCAAGCAGACCACTTATAGCTCCTTGGTACCTGCTAAAACCTGGAGGCAGCGTTATCAGATAGGGTTTTCCTTTTGTGGTGGGGTTCTGGGGGAAAAAGTGGGAGAATATGAGAGAGGAGGAGAAAGCCACTGCATCTAGCCAGTTCTTGTACTTTTAAATAGTTGAGGGAAAGAAAAGAGTTTTGAAATAATAAATATTTGCATAAGACTAGGGTGTTATTTATTAAGAAATAGAGGCTAAGGGGCTGGGCATGGTGGCTCATGCCTGTAATCCCAACACTTGGGAGCCTCAGGCAGGTGGATGACCTGAGGTCAGGAGTTCGAGACCAGCCTGACCAACATGGTAAAACCCTGTCTCTACTAAAAAATATGAAAATTAGCCGGGCATGGTTGCAGGCGCCTGTAATCCCTGCTACTTGGGAAGCTG